AGGGATGGGACGGGGATGGCACTGCTTTAGACCCCGTGTGATAAGGTCTATACTGTTTCCCAACTTAAGCTTTATTGCTTCTTTACTGCAGACATGCTGTTGCAACCTGACATTAAAAGTCTGTGTTAGTCCAGCTCTCCTTCATTTTCCAAATGCAAATGCTATTAAGAGAAAATGTCCTAGACATGGGATAAGGGGGAAAGGAAGGCTGGGCAGACATAAAAAGACTTTGTAAAAAGGAGCTTCTTTGTCAGAGGCTCTGAGGTCAGAACAAGGAGCTTAGCCATATGATCAATGCTGGGACAATATCCTGGCCAGTGTCCTTAAATTATTTAATATTTTTTTTGTCTGTTTAGATTACTTTTACCATTTTAAATTGTTTTAAACTGTTTAAATTCATTTTACCTGAACCCTGCTTTGATTTCCCATGAGACATGTCAAATTTTAAATATCTCAATAAATTATATTAAATAAAAATTAATGGTTTTAAGCTATGAGAAAACAAACATTTTTTTTCTGAGCCAAAGTGCATATGTTCTGTTCTGTTTTGCAATATACTGGCAATTTGAATACTGATTGCTGAGCTGTCTGAATGCCTAAGCTTTTGCAGTGTGTTTAATAAAAAGTAGAAATGAAAGAGGAAATGAAATATGATTGTACACTTTGTAAATGGTAAGCATTTTAAGAGAGAATTATTGCTAAAGATGCTTTCCAATTTTGTTTCTTTCTTTTTTTAAAATATCCTGCTGAAACACATTCAGGTCTACCTTTCAGTCTTTACACAACAAGCTAATTTCACACAGATTTTTGACTTTTTTTTCTTTTTTTAATCATAAATTGAAAATAAGGGGTTAACTTGGGGTTTCGTCAGAATGATTTTCTAATATTTAAGCCAAATGAGTTAATATTATGTTTTCCTATCATGCTGGTGGGAACCAGAAATGTTTAGACTAGTTATCCAAGCAGTGCTCAACATCCCAATCCTAGATTTCTTTTCATACTCTCAGCTATCCTGTGCAGCAGTGGTATGGCTGTAGATGACAAAAACATGATGACCACACCAACAACCCCCCTCCAAGTTGTTTGCTGACTGCAGTGGTAACATGGCTGGGAAAGCAGTTCTTATCTCGCAAAGTGTGCGTGTGAAGGGTGGGGCAGATGTACTTACTGAAGCAAAAATATGAACGCTGTCCTAGAATCAGTTCCTGAACTCTGTAGGAGGTCATGAAAATGTAGTACATTGCCCTATAACAGTGACATGTTGTTGAGTGAATAAATGCAGATGACGTTTTACAAAACAATAATTTTTGCCAGCATGTATGCTTCTATTTGGTAATCTCTGGAAATGGATTTTTTTGTTATGAATTGGGACCCAAATATCCCTAAATACAAGATAAGCATTATATTCTTGTCACCTCTAAGCAGCACATTGCCATTAACAGTGGTTTCCTCTCCATTGTAGAAAATTACTGCCTGGTAAGGATATCCTCCCAGGTAGAGTCCTGATTTCTCCTTTTATTGGAACTGACAAGATCCCATGTTTTGTTTTGTGATACTAATGTATCATCATTTATAATGGATAAACAACAGCCCCAAAGCTTTAAAAATTAGGTAATGATTTGCAAAACATGAAGAGTGTTCAATATATATGGGAATACATCAGCTAACAAAAAATACAACAAATTCCAAAATTCACAAAACAGC